TTGAGTTTTAGTTCTCAATTAACTATACAATCTTGGGTGGTTTTTTTAACTATACAAAATATCAAAAAGAGTTCACTTCTCACTGAAGATATGAGATGTAACCCTCCACCACCATACCACTAATGTGCTAAGAAGCACAAAAAGGAAGAGAATAAAGCAGAGTCTTTGTCTAAAGATTTGTCAGCTGAGAATTTAAAAGGGTATAAGCCAATGACAAACTTTCAAAAACAAGCCAGTACGGAAATACATCCAAATATAAAACAGACTGATAAACATACATGTTATTGTTAAGTACAGAAAAATGTTAATGTTAGAATCTGTGGGTGGTGACTGTAAAACTTACTACCTTTCTAAATATTTGCAATTTTTCATAATAAAATGTTCAGAAAAACAAATCATGTAACTCTACCTGCACCAGATGATGCATGCAAATGAACCTTTACAAAACATGACTCTGATTCACCCTCTCCTTGTCAAGAAGCATTTCACAGGTTGGGTCCCAACCCAAGCATTTCACAGTTAAAAATCAGGATGCAGAGAGAAAGCTGAATGAAACACATTTAATATTCAATTCAAGGAGTACTTGGTAATTTTTACAAAATTAGCATCAGCCTTTAAAAGTGAAAAAGATCCCCTAAGTGGCCTGATGTGATCTGTGAAAATGGTTCGCTATGCATTTGACCCAGAAAACCCCACAAGTCATGCAAGTCAAGAGGTTCAAATCTTTGTGGTCACTTTCAGAACACATGTGAAACTGCCTAGGTCATCAAGGGTACGCATGTACGAAATGCCACCAGGTAGCTGAAGGATGTCACTTTAAAGAAACAGTGTGTACCATTCTAACGTTATAATGGTGGAGTTGGTAGGTGTGCCTAGGCCAAACAGTGGGGCTAGACATAGGGTCAGTGGTCCAAAAGAAGTGCTGAATTTTTGCTGCCCAAGCTTAAAAATGCAGAGAGTAATGCTGAACTTCAGCTTCAGATGTAGATTCTCTGGTCACTGAGCATATCCAAGTGAGCAAAGCACCCAAGATGCCTCAATGAACTCTATAGAGTTCACGGACGCATTAACCCCTACATGAGCTCCCCTTGCCACATCGTGATGATCCTTACGGATAAGGAACAAATTGTTCCCAAACCAGAAGACAAGGTAGCACAAAAGAAAAAGATATCCTAGAAGAAATTGAAAAACAAAAACTTATGGCATGGAGACAGATGCAACACAAAACAAATGCAAACAACAGTGGAAAAAAGTGAAAAAGAAAAACTGGAAAGGACAGAAAAGTGATAACCTGAGAGAAAGATGACTAAGTCATCAAAAATGACCAATGACAGCTGGATAACAATCTGCATTTCAAGTGGCACTGAAACATTAGCAAAAGCTATTAAGGTTGATGTTTCTAAACCACTGGGGTACAATGAGAGCTTATCGACTTAAACACAGCAATTAATGTTATTAAACTTAACTGAAGAGGAAAAAGCAAGAAAAAATGCTTTGCAGAGTACCGACACGTTACTTATATCATTACAAGAAAAATATGGCATCACGTTACCAAGGCTACCACCGAAATAAAGGTGCTGAGTTACAAATCAATTGTAATCATCAATAAATTACAAGATGTAATTTAAATGTATCTTAAGAAGTCAGTCTGCAATAATACCTACCGTTTCACTAATTTCCTATGTGCCAGTCAGTGAGCTAACACTTCATGAATGTCTTATTGAAGCCTCATTACATCTCTATGACAGTTATCACTACCATTTAACAGAGAAGCAAAAACTAAAAACAACTAAATAACTTGCACACTAGTAAATCATTTATCATATTCAAACCAGGCAGGTCCTTCAGATTCTGAAACTTACGCCTCTAAACTATCATGTTCTATTGCCCTCCCAAACACTGAGACGACCCTGTAATCTCCAGGGCAATCAAAAACTTCACTAAAATGACAAGAAGCTGCTTTACTATCGGAATGAAATCAAATATTATGAACGCCTTACCTATATGGCATCAGTACTTTCAATAACTTTACAATACAGAGGGCATATGTCCAAATGAAAGTAAAACAAGATTATTGTTGAAAAGAAAAAAAGAATAGGAAAAGAGACATCATAAAGCAGTAATCAGTAACTACCAAATTCACTAAGAGCTATTTGGCAGTTTATTTGTTGACATTTTGTTTGCGCATAAGCGAGGCTGATTTAAAGTCAGTAACCTTTTCCCACTATCACATCCTATACTTATCAGTACCCAATACTGCTTAGCCTCTGAAATCTTGAACTCGTTTTTAAAAATATATTTTCATTTTTATTTATTTACTTTTGCAGTTTTGGTCAGGGCTGGGCTTGAACCCACCACCCCTGGTACATGGGGCCGGCACCCTACTTCTTGAGCCACAGCCGCCACCCGTGAAATCTTGAACTGTTAATACTCCAAATTTCTGATCACAACCCTACAACGTCCTAGTCCATAAAGGAGAAAGGATAAGAAAAGATTTAAAGTAAATAAACGTAGGTTAAAATTTGAACTCTACCCGTCCTAAATTCCTGGGCAAAGTATTTAATCTTCCTGGGCTTTTATATAACATAGGATGATAGCAGGGATGATACCTACAGCCTATGGTTGGAAAGATTAGAGGTAATGTATGTCAAGACCCTCAGAAGGTGCCAGGTGCATACCAGGCACTCAGTAAACAGTACTCCAGATCTACCTCCCAACATTAGTCCTGTAGCCTTCAGTCTCATACCCATCCTCCATTACACTCCACACACTGCTGGCCTAGTGCTACCCCCAGCTAAAACCCAATTCAAATCTTATTCTCTTGCTCTTCACTAGTTTTCCTGTCTCTTGTTAGATAAAGTCTGTATTCCTAAGTATAGCATACAAATCCCTTCAGCAACTATTTTTCCAGCCTCAACTCCTACCACATTTTGCTTACCCACCAATACCATGCAGTTTAAGCTTCAGTTAACAGTGAACTACTCTTAGCTTACATGCGCAGAATGATTTTGGTCTACCTATGTACAGTCTGTTCCATCTAACCAGAACTAAATACTAAAACAACATGTGTTTCACATTAACACACTACTCTAAGCTCTTGGGATATATACAGTAATAGAACCTCTGTAAGATGACCACCCAAGGGACTGTAACAAACTGGTCAACATAAGGAATAAGGCCTATTGTACTGACACATGTGGTCCAAATATGGTCTATGAAAATTAGTTCAACTTAAGGAAGTGGTCAATGTAGGGAGGTGGTCAACTACAGAGGACAGAGGTTTTACTGTATACAAATGACATAGCCCTGGTTCTTACAGTCGAATCAAGAAAGAAAAAGAATTATAATAAAAGGTCCAATCTGTAACCTGAATGACCCTCATCCTTTTCAGGTAATTCCTTAGGAAAGAATTCTGTGACCATTCCCAAACCACATATAGATTTCATAGCTCCTATGTTTAGCTTTCTTGACCTTTCAAAGCTACAATAAATCACTCACTACTGATCACTGGTGACTAGACTCCTGCCCCTACTCTTCCTCTAAGAATAAAATACACAAAATCTTAATGGTTTGTGTTAACAGCTAAGGTTATAGGATTAAATTATTTCACAGAATAGAGGGAGACTATTGGTAACAGTTCCCCCAACCTAATGGTCTCCACAATGAAGCTTTAAGACGTCTGATTTTACTTATAATCCATATGGATGAGTCCAAAAAATGTCAAAACAGCTATTTTCAAATAATCAATATCCTCGGTACTAGGAAATCTAAACATTCTAAAGTAATCCCATTAACTTCCTATTTTAAATACTTAAAAAATAAAATGCATATTCTTTACAGAAACTTCAAAAATATAAGAGTATAAAGAAGAAAATCCATGATCTGTAGCTTCCTTTTAGGATAGGTATATCCTGCTGTTCTTTAAAATGTGCTTTTGATAAGCTTATCAAGATTTTCATTCACAGGCTTGGGGCCTATGGCTCAAGTGGCTAAGACGCCAGCCACATACACCTAAGG